AAAAAAAAAAAATCCTGGACTGGGAAGTTGGCTCAGTGGTAGAGTACTTGCCTTGCATGTATGAGGCCCTGGGTTCGATTCCTCAGCACCACATAAGCAGGAAAAGCTGGAAGTGGTGCTGTGGCTCAAGTGGTAGAGAGCAAATGTTGAGCTGAAGAGCTGAGGGACAGCGCCCAGGCCCAGAGTTCAGACCCCATGACTGACAAAAACAACCACTAATAATAATAATGATAATGATGATGATGATGATGATGATGATGATAACACTAATAATCCTCACATCCAAGGTAGTAGAAAACAAGACAGCAGGAAGAATGCCCCTGGAACGAACATTCAGAATAAGTCTGTGATAAATTTGTCCGAGAAACACAATCATGGTGTGGAGATAAGGGCTAAAGGACAGGGAAATTATTCTTAGAGGTGATAGGGATCAAGACCAGGACCAACACAGACCACTTGGTGGTCACTGTCCTCTGTCCAGGTTCACTTGGAATGTGAGCCATGAACTTGGATCAGTACAATCTGGAGACTAAACATCTTCCTATGGCTAGTACCACCTCTGATCACGCACTGAAGGACGAGGACGTGTTGTCAGTCCTGTCCGATTTCCTCAAAATGCCCTGGGGATGGATGGGCTGTCAGATGACAATGGAAGAGAGGCCGTGGCCAACAGCAAAAACCGAGACAGTTCCCTAGCTTGCATCCTGACTCATTTCAGATCCAGTTCCCTAGCTTGCGTACTGACTCATTTCAGATCCAGTTCCCTAGCTTGCGTACTGACTCATTTCAGATCCGAGCTTCTACAGCAGAAAGAGACTTCCGCCTCTCCACCTTGCAGCTTTGGAAGGGTAGATGGGGTCCTGTTCCGGAGCCTTTAATTCCTTCCCCCAGCAGGCGGCGCTGTGCGCGCAGAGCCCGAACGGTGTCCTCCTTCCCAGGAGGCCTGTCGGGGCAATGGTCCCGAATTCGGCCTGCAGCCCAGGGCTAGCCTGGGCTTCCCTACTGTATGTATGCCAGGAGCAGGAAGAAACGAGGGCATCTAGGGTGAGAAAGGGAGTCTAATTGGGGTCATCATTTTAGGTACAGATCTTTAGAAAATTGCAGTGGTGGCAGCTCTTATTTTAGTTTCAACCCTTTGGAAGACCCTCCTCCCCGCAGTGAAAGCAACTCAGCTTCCTGATACTTAATAGAAACTACAGCCATGTTGCTCAAAAAGACATGGAAATTAATTCACTGCCTTTCCCAGGAATGCAAAAAAATAAAATGAACTCACAAAAAATGTTGAAGTTTGGGCTATAAGGTGGCTCAGTGGTACAGCACTTGCCTTGCATGCCTGAGGCCCTGGGTTCGATTCCTCAGCACCACATAAGCAAAAAGAAAAAAGCCAAAAGTGGCGCTGTGGCTCAAGTGGAAGAGCGCTAGCCTTGAGCTGAAGAACTGAGGGACAGCACCCAGGCCCAGAGTTCCGGCCCCACGACCGGACCCCCCCCCAAAAAAATGTTGGAGGTCTTTTTGGATTAGAACTCAGGACTGATGCTCTACTACTTGAACCATACCTCCACCCCCTAGGACAAAAGGTCTGACTAATAAAAAGTAACACAAAGTGATTTGGGGAGGTAAAGATAAGGGAAACGAATAAGCACAGTACCAGGTAGAAGAAAGGAGAGGCAGATTCAAGAGACTGTTTTTTTCCAGTACTGAGCTTGAACTAAGCATAATTTTATACACTGAGCTACAGCCTCAGCACTGTGGACATTTTAGTAGCTAGAGGTAGCAAAAGAAGGTGAGTCAATAGATGTAGTGACGCTGGAGGAGTAAAAGATGACAGAGGTAAGCTATCTAATTAGATTACCCAGTATACACTGATGCTTAGAACAGAGAGGGAAAGCCGGGCACCGGTGCCTCATGCCTGTAATCCTACCTTACTCAGGAGGCTGAGATCTGAGGATCACGGTTCAAAGCCAGCCCAGGCAGGAAAGTCTGTGAGATTCTTATCTCCAATAAATCACTAGAAAACCAAAAGTGGCGCTAT